AATTGTAGATCTTAATCAAAGTAACAAATAATTATAATTAAATATATATAATATATAATCAAACTTCTTTATAATTATATCTGTTTATAGTTATATCTTTCTATAGTCACTCTATTTTGCTTTCATATTTATATATAAATATAATAAAAAAATTCTCTTTATAATCACATCCTTTTTATAATTATCAAATTTTGCTTTCCCAAAAATGATAATTATAGAAAAGTTTGACTGTAATATTACTTTTTTAGTTCCAGAAACTGGATTAGATACTAAAATTTTATTAGGTATCATATGAAAAAATAATTCAATTTCATTAGTATTATATATATCATTAAGTGAATATGAACTTAATATTTTTTGTAATTATTTTCTTTCAGTTAATAATATTTTTATTAATATACTAGCTGTTTTACCTTGAAGTTTTTGTCAATGAATATTTGTTTTTTTTTAAATCTTGTTAGCCAATCATTAGAAAAAATAATACCTATAACTTCAAATTTATTAGCAAATTTTTTTGCTTTTTCCTTAAAAATATCACCTGAAATAATTATTCCAGCAATAATAGTTTGTATTATTATAATTTTAATATTCTATCTATTTGAAAATTTTTAATATTTTGAATACGAGCTGTTGTTATCACTTGATTAGTTTCATTTAATACTAAATAAATATTTGAATTTTTAATAATTTTAAATATAATAGAATAAAAAAAATAATTTATAATATTTAGTATTAAAAAAATCAGCTATTTTGATATGTAATATTTAGATATTGTTTATTATATATACAAATTTCTTTACTAAGTGCTTTGGTTATTACAGAATATTTTTTAGTATTATTTATATAGTTTTAATTTTAGAATGTAAAAATAATATTATAAAAATTTTTATATAGTTACTATTTATACATTGGCTAAATTTTTATTACTAATTATTTAATTTAATTTTAATATATATATACATAATTATATATATTTATGCATATTTGTATATATATTTATACATATTTGTACATATATTTATACATGTTTATTTATTATATTATAGATATTGATCTATTATTTAAATATATTATTATTTGAATTAGATGAGATTTTTTTATTGTAATTAATATATATTATGAAAATTATTTAATATTAATAGTGATTATAAAAAGGATGTGATTATATAAAGATTTTTTTATTAATTAAAAATTTGGAAAAACAAAATTAAATAAATGATTATAAAAAATATGACTATAAATAGATATAACTATAAAGATATTTAATTATATTAATTTGTTACTTTGATTAAGATCTACAATTTTACTTAAAATATTATTGAATATTTATTTGAACTTGAACTAAACTTTTAATCAGATTCAAATCAGGTTTAAAGTTGAACTGAATTTAAATTAGATTTTTGATTAGATTCAAGTTTAGTTAAAGCTTAATCAAATCAAATTCAAATTAAATTAGAATTTTTTTCAGAACTTTAAATTAGAATAATATTATCAAGTAGAAATGTTAAAAAAAATATTTAATCTTCTTCAAGCAAAATTAGTATTTCTATAAACTGAATTAAATTGAACTTTTGTTCAGATTTGAGTTTGGTTTGAAAGTTAAACAAACTGAATTAGATTTTTATCTAGGTTTGAGTTTGAACCTTAATTATGAGATATAATTCTTGAAAATATATTTATCTTAATTAAATATTATATTCACAAAAAATGATTATTTTGTTGAATTTTCATTTCTGTTTAATAATTACTATAATTTGAAAGATTAATAATAATTTTATTCTTCTCATTATATAGTTATATCTGATTGTAGAAGAAATTTAAGAATGAATTATATTAGAATACTTTTTTGCAAAATGGATAATTATTGAATTTATTAAAAATACTTTAAATAAATATATTAAAGTTAAAAATGATTGTCAAAATTAGAAATTTTAGTAAATATCAAAAATACTGAACTAAATTATAATAAATTATTAATTTTATGAAAATTTTAATATTAGTTCAAATTTATTAAAAGCTGAAATTATAATTTCCAGAATTCAACTTTTTGGCATTCGATAAAATAATTCCAGCAAGCATTCTTAATCAAAATCATAAAGTTTTTCAAAAAATCATATCAAGATAAATATCTAAAAAAATTGTATAATATATAACAGTAACACATAATAATAATGTAACAGTACCAAAGAAAAAATAAATCAAAAAGATAATTAAGTAGAAAGCGAATTGATATAAATAAAAGTAAAAGAAAAAGTTAGAATAAAACTAAGAATAGTAATAAAGGTAATAAAATAAATAAATAATACTTTGTAAAAATAGCTTTAAATCACTTTTAATAAAATAATGCAATTTTATGATTTATATGATGTTATTCAACATGATTTGTTTATGATTAACCGAAAAGCCCGGAGATTGTATAAGTCAGGTGAGTTCCTTTTGTAATTTAGACAATATTAGTTGTGGTAGCAATGACAAGCAATATAAAAAATTGATTTTTTACAAATTAATAAATTAGAAAAATTTTATCAAATTTTTATATTACAATGTTTGTGTTTGTTTTCCAAAAATATCTATATTACGCATATACTGGAGAAGATGAAGACGTGGATGTTGTAGTATTTATGTATATATTTTGTTTATTGGTGAATGCCGCCGAACACTTTGCCATTGTTTGACTCGCTCGCGAAATACTATCAGTCATATAGAAGTCCTGTATCACCGGTCTAAGTATTGATCCAGACGGGGCCCTAACCTCGCGACTTGACAGATACGAAAGTCCGAGCGTAGGATTTGTTATTCGTTCTAGAATATCGTAGCGTGTTAGGTGTGGCGCGATGTCGTCTATACGTTCGCGCAGAGTGTGTATATCGTCGTAGGGAAGAGTCATGTCAGCCACTTCGGATAATGCTCGAATAATCTATTATTTAAAAAAAAACAAAATATTAATTAATTCGTTATAAATTAATTTTATTTTATTAGCTGCATTGGAAAAATCAACTCACCTTCCAGTCTTCGCGTGCAGCACCAGGCGGTGGAACAGCTGCGCGTGTTGTTTGTGGTCTACCTTCAGTATTTACATAGGTGGCATTTTTTTCGGTGTATGCGGCTCCTGGTAATATCACATCCGCGTAATTAGCTCCCGTGTCACCGTGGTGTCCTTGGTACACGACAAATGCATCATTTGGAATATCTTGTGGTGATACTTCATCAGCATTTAATAAGTATATGAAAGATGGGGTTGTACTGGCAGAATGTTTAGAGGGAATAAATCCGATATCGTAAATGGCTGCATGACTTGCTCCCTAAAATACGTAATTTTTTAATTTTTAATTTAATATTTAGATTATTAAGTAAATCAAAATATTCAATAAACATACTCTTTGCAATACACCGTAACCCTGCCAATCGTCTTGGAAAAATTTATCTACATATTTGTTTGTCAATTTAGCAACTGCCGAAAACACAAACTCTGCATCTGGACTTTCTGTCACACCACTACCAACGATAATCAACGGTCTTTTAGCTTTCGCAAGTCGTTGAGTAAACGGATGTTTTTCCTCCAATAAACGTTCTATTGCTATGCTATTTTTGCCTATGTGCTCATATTCATAGGTGGTATCGGCCGGATAACCAATCAAACCAATATCTAATCCATTATGGAGATAACTCTTTCGTATACGAGTATTAAGAATTGGTCCTTCATGACGAGGATTAGTTCCTACGAGTAAAAGAACATCTGCTTCTTCGACTCTTGCGATAGTACTGTTCAACAGATAGTTTGATCGAAAATCAACACCATGTGCAGGTATTTTTGAGCCATTTGGTGTATCAATAGTCAAGTTATCAGATCCAAGCCGGTTAAATAAATCTTTTAACGCTACCAAACTTTCAACATCTGCTAATTGGCCCGCGATAGCTTTGGCTTTTGAGCCATTTTCGATATTTCGTAACTCTTGAGCGACCTTGGTTAACGCCTGTTCCCAATTTGCCGGTGAAAATTTATTACCTTGACGAATCAAGGGAATAGTAAGACGTTGTCGTTTGAGTCCATCAAAGGCAAATCTTGTTTTATCAGAGATCCATTCCTCGTTAATATCATCGTTGATTCTTGGCAGGATACGCATCACCTCTATACCACGGGAATCGACGCGAATATTACTTCCAATAGCATCAAGAACATCAATAGATTCTGTTCTTTTCAATTCCCAAGGTCGGTAAGAGAATGCATACGGTTTAGCAGTCAAAGCACCAACAGGACATAAATCAATAATATTAGCAGACATTTCAGAGTCAAGTGTTCTCTCGATATACATGCTAATTTGCATATCATTTCCTCGGCCAGAAGATCCCAATTCAGGAGCCCCAGCAACTTCAGTAGCAAATCGCACGCAACGAGTGCAATGAATGCATCGCGTCATTGTAGTCTTCACCAACGGACCAAAATCTTTATCTTCAACGGCACGCTTTCCAACAATCTCATGAAACCTTCCACGATCACTACCATATCTCACGGACTGATCCTGCAAGTCACATTCACCACCTTGATCACAAATAGGGCAATCCAATGGATGATTAGCCAGTAAGAATTCCATCACACCCTCACGCGCTTTTTTCACGACTGGAGTGTCCGTCATGATTTTCATTCCTGGCATTATTGGCATCGAGCAAGAGGCCACGGGTTTTGGTGATCTTTCCAGTTCTACCAAACACATTCGACAATTACCAGCGATAGATAATCTCTGCAGTAAATAGAAATAATATTGAGCTTTATGAAATCTAGAATGGACGAACAGACACATACCTCATGATAGCAAAATCTAGGTATTGCGACGCCTGCTAACTCACACGCTTGTATAACTGCACTGCCTTGTTCAATTCTCACTGGTTTTCCGTCAACAAAAACTTCGACCTCATTATACCTTGAAGCAGTCAAGCTAAAAGAACGACCTAAAAAAAATAGTTACCTTTTTGTTTGTAATCAAGACCGAAAAAAAGAGCTAATGAATATTATATAGATAGTTAAGGCTTACTTGTAGTACGGGATAAAGTGAGGTTTCTTGCGAATCTCCTCGAGCTTATTAGTAACCTCGACATTTTAGTGCTGTGGTTATCGTGGCAACTCCCAAATTTATATATTTTGATTTACATAATAAAATTGACGATCCTTCAAAAATAATTTTTTCACGAATTAGCGTTAATATTACAACCCGGTCGGAACTTGCAAGTTCCCGGGACTCTAGAACCAAATCAACCTGAAACGGAAAAGAACCTTCTCATCGTACAACATATGTTACGTATTTTACTGAGATTT